GGCAGGCGGCAGGCGGGAATCGAACTCATACGGAAGTGGCTTCAGATTCTCAGTGCTGTGCTTTAACCCGCTGCGCCACCAGGGAGGGCCCTATATATAAAATTTTTTATGTAAAATATCTAAATATATGATTTTTATAAATTTGAATCCCTGCTCAGTTCAACAACTCTGTATTGTCCATTCAGTAATATTCAATGTGTATCCACTGTATAGCAGGAGCTGTTCTAAGCACTTGATGCATAGGTTAAATCCTGTTGTCAGTGAGCTTGCATTCTAGTGGAAGAGATATTGATGAAAAATTACACTTGTAGAGATTAGTAAATTATATAGTATGTTAGAAGAAAGTATACTATCATGCCAGGAAAAAGTCAGGCATGATAAGAGAGGATGAAAGTGAAGGAAATATAGGTGGGTTGGAGTTGGGGCTTGCAGCATTAGAGAGATCTGAATGGCCACATGGAGAGGGTAACATTAGCGAAACTGTGGACATGAAGTTAGCTGCTGAGAGAAGAGTGTCATCAGAGGCATACAAGCAAAAGGTCCTGAGGAGGAGCATTCCTGACACTTTTATGAAACACTTGGGCAGGCAATGTAGAGTTAAGAGAGTGAAATAAGTGGTAAGAAGCAAGGTCAGAGAGGTGACAGGGTTAGCAGACAAATTTTATAGGGCTTTCTTTACTATTAGAACTTGAATGTTTTTTCTGAGTCAAAAGAACATCGTTGCAGGATTTCAAGCATAAGTATGGAATGATTTGATCATTCTGACTGTTTTACTATAATTTTCAAGGGTATTGATGATTGTTTCTGCAATTTTAGGTATATTACAGCTAATACTGACACAGAAGAACAGAGTTTTCCAGTCTCAAAAACATTTAACACACAAATAGAAGACTTGAATTTAGATCTCCTTCTTCAAAAGGCAGATAATTTACGTATGAATGAGTCTAGTAAGATGGAAAGTTTTGAACTACTTTGTGACCATAAAGAAAAGGTAAGAGGTCTGTGAAAATAACATGTTTGTATAGTTTTTATTTAATCTACTACCCCATTCATATTATGACCGTAGCAAAATGAATCAGACAAAATTTTTGTTCAATATGACTAAAATTTTTGAAAAGTAAATGAATTCATTAGTCTCTAAGATCATATAAATGAGAAGTAGGAATATGATTATGCAGATTTACTTTTATTTGATATTTTATTTATTAATATATTTAATTATTCAATAACAAAGAATAAGACAGACCACTTCGCTAGGTGGAGGAGAAACTATATTCCAAATTTTCTGATTTTTATTATTAATATAACAGCTCAGTATTTGTAAGCACTGAGTTCACCTGAAGCACAATTCTACTTTTTCAGTTTAGAGATGAAATTGAATTTATTTGGCGGTTTGCCCGTGCATATGGAGACATGTGTGAGCTATCTACAGATACACAAGAAAAGAAACACTATGCTAATATTGGTAAGTATTTTGTAACGACTGATTGTCCATGTTCAACATTTATGTCTACAATCCATAATGTTGATAAAAGCTCAATAATCTTAGCTAAAGCTAATATGTTTATTTCAGTATATCTTGGTGCTGAAAAATGCAGTCAAAGGACAGAAAGATTTTTTTCATACTAAAGTATATGCTCTTTAAAAATACTTGTGCATATCATAATAGGCTACCAAAAAAACTCATTTTTAGCTTTTCAAACTTATAAAACCACAGATAGATGAGACATTTGGTGGTAATCTTTGAGAAGCAGTAATAGGCAATTGTTTTCAACAAATCATTCACAGAAGTAACTCTGTTACTAGAATTCCATATAACACAAAGAAACAACTTCTCAGACTTCAGTATTTTTTGGTTTGTCTTGGTGAAAATGAAATTAGCCTTAAATTGACATTTGTTTAAGTTGAATGGTGAGTACGTGACCATTTATTATATTGTTGTCTAAATTTTCCATAACAACAATAAAAAGAAAAAAAGCAAAGAAAAAAAGAAAAACAACAAATATGTCAAATTATATTTATCCTACACCTCACCATGGCTCTCACTTAGTATCAAAACTCCTTCTTGCAAAGTCTCTTAAACTGCTATCACCTTAGTTTTAGTATAATATCGAGACCTCTTCTTTTATTCCAAAGACTTCACTCTTCAAAGCTTTTGCTTTTTATGATAGCATGAAGAAGTAGTACAAGAGAAGATATAGATACTAAACATCTCTTCCCAGTCTAGTTCACAGTCATTTTTATTTCCAAGAAGGAAATATTCCCAATCCCCTTGTAAATTACATTTCTCCCACTGGTAGATTTTCCTGCAATATGACCTCAACACTTTCACCTCTGTCAGTGGGAGGAAGATGGGAAGAATTCCCATATATAAAAATGAAATTCTAGAGAAGAGATTTGTTAATTTTCAAGTAAATAAAAATTTAACCAAAGAGAACAAATTGATTCATTTTGATAGCCACTGAGAAATTAGAGTATATCTATGTGAACTGTTTTTAACATTCATCACTGCTGAACACTACTGACATTGATCACTATTGAGTATTTCTTTTTTTAAGCACCTGACCTGGTCATTAAGGGCTCTTTGTGTTAGGAGTAGAAATACGATAGCAAAATGAACAAGTTGCAGTGGAGTTTATGATTTTGCAAAGGAGTCAGTATTATCCAAATAATCATATACACAGAGAAGCAAACTGAAATAAATTGTTTATAGTAAAATATAATTGAGGCATTGTTAAAATAATTACCTTACAGAAGCTATTATACAGATTTAATGCAGTACCTTTCAGAATTCCAGTGGCATTCTTCAAAGTAATAGAACAACCATTACTGAAGTTTTTATGAATCACAAAAGACCCCAGGCAACCACAGCAATCCTGACATAAAAGAACAGAGGCATTACACTCTTATACTTAAATTATACTCTAAAGCAACAGCTATCAAAGTAGTATGATATTGGCATAAGAGTAGGCACACAGTTCAATGGAATAGATTTGATAAACTCACATAGGAGCCAAGAAAAAAATTTGGACAGCCATGTGCAAAAAGAATGAAATTAGACCACTATCATACACCATAACAATCATATACCATAACAAAAGTTACTTAAAGATGGACCCCGCTTCTTTTTATATTTCTCTGGATGATGAAATTTCCTCTTATTTTAGCCACATGGTAGTACACTAAGAGGTTTTTTTTTTTTTTTTTTCCTCATTTGGCAATGTAGCCAAAATATTGATTTGGTTTTGAACATTTGAACAGTTAGAAGTACTTAGGTTTCTCAATTATTAAGTTACAAATTGCTGACCCCTTTAGTATATTCTACAACATGTAATACTAGTTATTATTGAAATGATTCACTTTTGAATTATTTCCAATTTGTGTAAATATCTATACAGGGTAGTCTCTTAATGCATAGAGCTATACAGTACCACCTTAACAAATTAACAAATAGGAGAATGGTCTTAAGGTAAAAGATATTTATTTATAAAGCTTATCTCAACTACTTATTTCAAGAGCATTTGGAAGATCACTGGATTTTTCTCTTAAAGGTAAGAATAAAATGGAGCAGAGGAAAAAGATAATGGTATAAATCAAAACAGCCTCTTTGTGGAAAGAATTTCAGAATGTGCTTCAGTTTTGTTGCAAGTGTTTTCATTTTTTTTCAAGCTGTTAGATAATACCTTTATCCAAAGTAATTATTACATGATTGAAAGTTGTCTAAAACCGACAGTGGTTTTGGGAGAATGATTTATGTCACAGACCCTGTTTACTATTTTGAATGATTTAATTGAGGACTTACCTGAGAAGTCTTCCCTATCTTGTTTATATGGAATTAACTCTTTTTTTTCTCTCTTCTATGCTCTTTTTCACCGTGCTTTCATTTTTTTTTAAATATAATGTATATACTTTCTTGCTCCCTACTAAACTGTAACCTCTTAGCAGTTAAGAACTGTGTCTACTAAACTGTAACCTCTTAGCAGTTAAGAACTGTATCCTGTTTGACTTTTTATTCCCAGAGACTCATATAAGATGGCACTTAGTAGAACTCAATGATGTTGCTTGAGTTAATTACAAATTACTTGTGTAGGCCAGAGGGAGCAAGATAAATACTGGATGGTCTCACTTATATGTAGAGAAGCCAAACAATGTCAAGTAAACACAAACTATATAAAACCAGTTTTTGAAAACTGACCATAGATCTGAGGCATCCAAGAGTGGAGGAAGAAATGGAAGAAAGATGGAGCTGTGGAAGGGGTGGGGGAGGATAGAGAGACTAAAACTGAAGGCTATGGATATTTTTATGGTGTGTGAGCTACAGTAACCACTCCTAGAGGGAGAACTCTTCTAATGTGAAAATATTAACAGGGATGTAAAACAATGATAATCCACTAATAAAAAAATTTCTACGAATGCTTTAAAATGAATGACATTTTTGCATTTGGTTAAATCACTTAGGTCAATGAAATCTCAAACTTGAATGTATATTAGACTCTTTAGAGGCTCATTAAAACAGTTTGAGTTCTAAATTTTGTGATCAAGGAGATCTCATCTGGCAAAATAAAACTCATGTTTCTAACAAGTGCTAGGTGATCCTGATGCTTCTAATGTTAAGACCATACTTTGAGGAACCATTGACTTAATTCAGTAATCTTCCCACCAGCTCACATGAAAATATTAAGTACATGTACATTTATCTTTTAGGAAAAACACTAGGTGAAAAAGCTATTTCTAGAGCTCCCATGAATGGATATTGTCATCTGTGGTAAGTACATAGAATTTACTCAGTCTCTTTAAATTCTGATATGCCTCTATATAAACTATAATGGATTTTTTAAGTATTATGGACCTTTAACCTTTCCATCACATTTACTAAAACATACTTAGTAAATAGTCCAGTACTGTTATTCTCATGTATTTTTCAGTATGTATATCTTAAATATATTTAGGTTAATTTTCACTGAAGACTTTATAAATGAGTCTACCACATTCAGTGATTTTGAATGTAATACATTTTAATCAAATCTAATTTAATATAACATTTCGTTTGGAAGCAAGTACTAAAATGATGTCTTATTTCTCAACAAAACATAAGGGAAATGCTTCAAAGAATAAAAGCACATTAGCCTCCTTTTATACCTTCATGAGTAGGATATACAAATTTCACAGGGCAAAGATGAGCCATTTATAATATAAGAAAGCTTAAATAGGTGAATGTCTCAGAGGGCAAAAAAAAAATTATTGAATATATATTTTAGTTTAAATCCTTTGTATGTTTAGAATTGTAAAACATAAATGAGAAATATATTGTTTTCAATTAACACTTCCTTTTTACTTGTATTTGCATTTATATAATTTTTTTAGTTTCTCATTTTTGTTTTGTTTTTCTCCTGAGTAATGCAGGTACATAAGCTGCTTAGGAAGCTAACATGACCCTTCCCTCAGCCCTGGGCTTCCAGAAATTCACCCCAGTTTGGTGTTACTTTATTTCTCCCGGCATGAGTAGGCAGAACCTCTCCAAAAGGCTCACTTTCTACAAAATGTTTTTTTTTGCCTCACCAACCGAAAGGTGCAATCGTTTCCCAGTTCAGACCTGTTTACTCCGCCACCAGCAGGGGGAGCTCCACTCAAAACGCTTATCTTATAAAACTTTCCTGGGCAGGAATCAGGTGTAGTAACCCCCCCTTTTTTTTTTTAAAGATTTATTTATTTGTGCATACAGAACTGGGGTACAGACTAGAGGCTCAGGGGCAGTGAGAGGCTTCACCAGAGACAGAGTGGGGAGCAGAACAGGCAGATCGACGAAGTCCACTGCTGAGGGGAGCAGCGTGTGGGCCAGGAGAGGTCTGCCGCGCCATGTGGTCACCTCCGGGGCAGGCGGGAATCGAACTCATGCGGAAGTGGCTTTAGCTTCTTAGTGCTGTTCTTTAACCCGCTGCGCCACCAGGGAGGGCCATAGTAACCCTTTTTAAGTACTTGAAAGTCAATCTCCAAATCCTTGCAAAATAAGATTATCCTTTGAAACCATCCTCACTTGACCTAAGGTGAAATGCAAGCCTAGCTCCAACTGTTTCCCATGGAAAGGTAGATGGAGGATCCACAAAATCCTAACAGGGCTATCTATCAGTAAAAATTCTCCCTCCAGGCCTGTTCCTTATTTGTGCTCACATAATCTATAGCCAAAGATAGGTGAAGGGTAAGCCTGGAAGAACCTGTGAATCATTTCTTCAGCATGTTATGTGTGGGTAATGTGTGTATGTGTGTTTTACCACACATCATGTTACCACACCTTTATTTGTTCAGTCATCTATGGACAGTTTGTTTGGACATCTTAACTATTATAAATGTGCTGTAATGCGCATACAGGTGTATAAGTGTCTTGAAATCCATCTTATGAGAAACGATTAAGAGAAAAATTATTATTAATTCTTTCTTAGAAAGTTTTTTCAGTCTGTCTTTTCCTCTCTGGCTACTTCTCCTTTGTTCATCTTTTTTCACTTTTTGTTCTCAACTAATTTCCTTGCTTATAACTGTGGAATTTAATCTAAAGTTACCTCTTATTGACACACAGAGTGATGATCCAATTGTCTTTCATATGATTTATTATTTAGTGTCAGTTTATAATTAAAAACATTAAAGTTAGCATTTAATAAATTCAAATTTCAAGTTTACATTAATTCATAGATTATATGAATTATTATATTTATATACAATTATTATAAATGTATCTACTGAATATAAGAGTTGTCATTCAGTAAACAGATTTTAAAGTGATGACAAAGGAAAGAAAACTTACTTAAGGAATTTACTTGAGGATGGAAATTAAATTAATTATAATAAAATGTTGAGAAAAGATCTTGTTCTGCTGGAATTTTTCTTAATATATTAAGACATTTTTTCACTCATTCAGCACTCACTAGTGTGTAAGCATAGTGACAAAGGTGAGTAGTTACAACAGACTCTCTGACCCCAAGACTTAAAATGTTTTCCATCTAGCCCTGCAGGAACAGTTTGATTTATAGGGTTATTTGAGAGTTTGTAAGCCCTCAGTTTGAAATAAAAGATGCACTGTTTAGGTGTAGTTCTTATAAAGGATTAACATTTGGGGGAATAATTGAAAAACAAATATTATTTAAAAGACTAATTTTTAATCTTCATCTTTTCTAAAGTGGAATTGCTTTGTATATGAGCTATATCAGCTCTATCAACTTTCAATAAAGTCCTCTTGGTTTTGTCTTACCAACCTCAGGTACTCCTGAAATCAAGAGAGTAGCTGGCCAGTGGCTCTTCAGTTCGTTGGCGACATAGGCCTGTCTCTGTGCCCCTCCCCCCCTCCCTCTCCCTTCCCACCCCCTGGTGTATGTCTCGCTTATAGTTTGCCTGCCAGTTTTCTTTTCTCTTTCCATTTTGTAGATAGGTAGATAAGGCAGTGTGCTTGTGTGCTGTTGGGGTGATTTGTAACCAAGGATCAAAGACGTGGGATAACACGTTTTTGTTCTTATATTCTTGTATACCAAGTATTCCTTCTACTACAATTGTCTTCCTCTGCTTTCTTGTAGTATAAGTGCTCTGTTGTCTCATACTGCTGCAAGGAAGCTGATGAGGTTGTTCCAGCAGTTTTTGAAATAGGATGTTTATTGTTTATCAGTTATTAAAGATATATTTTAATATCAATGCAAAGAAAATACAGAATTTTTGTGAAAGCTTATTTAGTTAGAATGACCTCTAGATGGAGGTAATAGACCATTTGTGAATCAACTTTCTTCAAGGTTCCCATCAACTTGAGAGTTTATGAAATACAAGTTACAATCCCATTTTTAATGAATATTATGTAAAAATAACTCATGAGTGCACATGTACTCTTGTTCTGTCTCTCTCTCTCTCTCTCTCTCTCTCACACACACACACATTCTGAAATGGGTGGAACTGATTGCCAGAAAAGTGATGATCCTTTGACAAAAAGAGGTCAGGTAAACTTTGAATTTAGCATGTGTTGGAAGATATAATAGCATTTTACACTTGAACGAGGCAGATTTTTAAAAGACTATGAAAAACTAAGTCTCTAGTAAGGTTATTTATAAGAGAAAAATACAGATTTCATATACAGGTGTTCTTAGTTTATGGATTTTTTTTCCTTCACACAGAGAAACTTGGAGAGAATGTGCTGAGAAAGCAATATGACAACCTAAAGATTTACATACATAGTTCTGATTTTCAGAAAATAGAGGGTTGATGCCACACTAACAATGAGAGAACATGGGCTCTTGTGTGATTCCAACACAGTCAACTGGGTTGCTCTTTGAATTTCTGGATGAGGATGTTTAAATAGACACAACATAAGACATTTATAAAAATGTGACATGCTCTTTATCTTCTTTACTAGTAGATAGAACAGGAAAATTGAACTGTTTATATCTGTATTTAAGCAAAGCATCAAGGCAAATTCACATATGAATTCTGCAAACGTGTAGAAATAGGGACAAGCTACTGTCGGATTGTCCATGCTGATGGGAAGGTTGGAGCCTCAGTTATTCAGTAGAATAATGATTTGCTATCTCATTGTCAGTCTAGACATGGACCTAGGATTCTAGGATGAATATCTTACTAGTGTACACAATAATTTTTTCAGTTGATGAAGATATTGAAGATATGCATATAAAAGTTGTAAATAACACAAAGCTGGGGAATAGGTATATGATGGATGATAATAGTAATTCAAAACTTCTTCACATGTTGAAAAATATACATAACAGGTATGAATTATTAGGAATAAGTGTGGAGGGAGGGTGGAGAGAAAAGTGTCAATATGTAAGAACATAAGGAAAAAGCAAATAGAAATTTGAATGAAGTGTGGTGATGATTTAGAATAGTTTGAACACTGTTCACTGAAAAATTATATACTGCTACCATATGTCAACATGTGGTAAATGTACCGTAGTCTGGAAGGTGTAAACAGTAGAGGAGAATGGCGTGGGTCTACAGGGACTCTGTTCTGTCTTTACAACTTCCCTGTGAATCTCAAACTATTTTAAAATAAGTTTCTTTTTTAAAGAAACTTTGGGTTTTAAGCCCAAAGAATTTGAGAAATGGTAATTCTGTTATCAAAATATGAGGCGTTTAAGGATGCAGTTTTGTGGAATTTTGCTCCCCAATCTGGAACTCTGGGAGGAGTGGTATAGAACAGAATGACAGAGAATCTTTCAAAAGAACACAGGGAGGCCGAAGGTGATGCTAGCAGTTTTCTCAAGGAACCTCAACAGTCATTTCCCAGCAGTCTTTCCTTAAAAATCCAGTTTCTGATAAGTGCAAAAAAAGTATGTAAAATAGAGTCTGAATTTAGAATTTATGAAAAGTAGTAGGATTTTCTGATCTGGTTATGTTCTCAAACCACCTTTAATAGGTTAATTTAGTCATCATTCTTGCTCCTAGAATAGAAGACTGTTTTGATTATAAAGAAAATGGAAATTAAAAGGTAAAAAAAGTCATAACTAAACATCGTCATCTAATTGGTTGTGTATAAAATGTATGAATTATGTGATCTTTGGTGTCCAGGAAGAATCTACTGCTGTAGATTAAAGAAAATTGTACAGTTTTGTACCTAAAAGTTATGCTTATTGAGATACTCAAAATTACATCTCTCATTTGTTGTTATAAAACAAGGGAAAATTGGGCCCTTCCTGGTGGCGCAGCAGGTTAAAGCGCAGCACTGAGAAACTAAAGCCACTTCCGCATGAGTTCGATTCCCGCCTGCCCCGGAGGTGACCACATGGCGTGGCAGACCTCTCCTGACCCGCCCGCTGCTCCCATCAGCAGTGTACTTCGTCGATCTGCCTGTTCTGCTCCCCACTCTGTCTCTGGTGAAGCCTCTCACCTCCCCTGAGCTTCTGGCCTGTATCACAGATAAATAAATCTTTTAAAAAATTAAAAAAAAAATCCATGGGGGGCCCTCCCTGTGGTGCAGTGGGTAAGGACACAGCACTGCAAGCCGGCCTCAGCTGCTCGATGTGATACCTGGCCCTGGAGGTGATCCACATAGCATGGCAGACTTCTCCTGACCTGCCCACTTCACCCCTCAGCAGTGTACTTCATCAATCTGCCTGTTCTGTTCCCAACTCTGTCTCTGGTGACTCCTTTCACTGTCCCTGCACCTCTGGCTTGTACCCCATTTCTGTATGCATACATAAATAAATAAATAAATCTTTTTTGAAAAGTCCATCGGAAGAGGGGGTGGGGAGGGAAATGCACAGGATTATGGTGATGGCACACGGGTGACTTGGTGATGGGAAACCCACGGGGATTACAATTGAGATGGGGAAAAAAATGTACAAAATGATGTAAAAATAAACTTTTGTAAAATAAAATAAAAAAAAAGTCCATGGGATACCCTCTTCCTATTATACAAGGAAGGATTGAGGCATGAGGGGGAATTTTTGAAAAGGCATATTTTAAAGTTTCCTTTGACTTTTACTCATTTTTAGTCATGGTGTTTATTTTATTTTCAAGTGACACTAAGGGACACCATGTCATCTTTACTGACTTCATATTAGTGTTAAGTATTTATTGTTGTTAGGGTCCTGGGACCTAAATGAATACTGTTGTTAAATAGTGAGTGTTACAGGTACCATTTAAATGGTGTATTATTGGTATTTGATTAAAAATTCACATACCACCCACAGGTTTTTTTCCATTTCAGGTATGCAGTTTTGTGTGGGCACGTATCTGAGTTTGAGAGCTTACAAAACAAAGTCAGCTATGGACAGCGTTTCAAGGTATTTCGTGATATTAAAAGTGTGTTAGTGTCGTTTTGTGTTACATTAACAGGTGTTAATCAAAGGATTCAACAAATTAACCACGTTGCTAATCTCTAATTACTCAGCTATTCTGCTTAGATTACTTTTTATTTAAATAAAATGGTAGTCTTTACATAGTATTGTGACAAAAAGAATAAAAACTAAGTAGGTGATTTAAGATGATTATCATTTTAGATCCTGAAAGAAGTCACACATGAGTATTATTTTGTCAGATAGAGGATTAGCATATTTGCCATGAGATCATCAACATCATAACATAATTAGCAAACATTCTCTGCTTGTTGATTTGGTGGCAGAAGTAGAATCCCCATCAGCAATGCTCTATAGGGATGGACAAAGTATTCTATGCTTTCCAATTTCCTAGAACCATTTTGGCAATACCAGATGAGTAGATTCCTCTCCCACCTACTTGTGCTGTTCTGTCCACCACCCTAATCATTGCTAGTTTTAAGTTTGCCTCTGAAACAGTACATTAGGAAGGCAAATGGTGGATGAACACTTGCCTTGGATATTTTCTATTTTTATAGCAACATTTAGGCTTTAGATTCTCTGTCGCCTAATTAAAGAATAGTCACTGTGCTGGTTCTAGTTAAGAGTAATCATTTTTGAGAATTGAATTCTTGGTAAGAATGGAATTATTGGTAAAGTTGGGAGCTTGGGATGATGAAACCGCACTGTCAAGCCCCTGTGAATTTTCTGGATGCGCTTCCATCCAGCACTACTTGTAACTTGAAGGTGATATTTCTTTTGTGTTGTCTTTCAGGACCATCTAGATAAGGCAATCCAGTTTTTACCTGAAGAACCCTTTTTGTATTACCTCAAGGGAAGATACTGTTACACTGTAAGTTAAATGCTTTTATCTAAAAATATTATTTGAGTATACTAAGATTATATATTTCAGCTCTTTTGCTTTATCAAATGCCAGTGGTAGGGAAAATTATGAACTCAACACATATTTTCTATGAGTTTATAATTTGTATATGTATGTGATTTTACATACTTTGTCCTTTCCACAGCCGTCACACTCCCTTCGTGCTCTATGCAGAATTTCCAACATGCACCCTCTACTGGTGCACTCGGTTCCATTCTGTGGGAGGGCTTTTTTCATTTGTCAGAATATTTTGAGCATAAATTTTGTGCTCGTTTGCCATAAGGTTAATAATGCACTGCCCTTGTCTTCAAGGAACTTGAAGGGGATGTGAGAGGTATAGAAATATATTAAGGTAGCTGGTCATTGAAGGCCCAGTGTCTTATATGACCTTAGTTTATGGAATGTTAGTGGTTGTGAAAATGTATCTTGAGATTTATGAAAAATTATCATGAAGAAATGCTGTTTCTGAATGAGAAAATGAGGGCAGGAAAAAGAAGAAGCTTTTTAAATAAGGCTTTTAGGTGATAAAGAATAAAGAAGGAAGATTGTTTTTATTGAGCATGCATGGGGGGTATTTAATACTTTAGGTTTCTTATTTTATTTAGCACCTCTAATAGTGCTATAAGTGTTTTATATATTACTCCAGCTTTAAATATTAAGAATCCAAGTCTTCATAAAGGTGGGTAAAGCCCCTAGAAGTTAGAAACCACCGACTCAACATCATGTGAGTCTAGTAGTTACATGTACATTATTTATTTAGGCTTAAAATTTCCAAGAAAGAAAATTTTAATTCAAAATGAATCCTTATCCTCAGGCCATAGATAAATGTCAGAAGCTAATTGTAAACCTGGAGGAGCATGCCTCCCTGGAGTTACCAAGTCATAAAACTCCTGCAGCGTGGCCCAGCAGTGATGAGCTCACGGTCAGAAGCATTAGAGTCCAAGAGAAAGTAAGCCTCAGAATGACCAGTCAACAGAAGCAAACCAAAAAGAACAGAAATAGACTTAAGCATACCTCAGATTTTGGAAACACAGAATTTAAGCACCTATAGAACGTGTTTCAAAAAATTAGAGAGATTAAGAGAAAAGAACAAGAGCATGAAACTATAAAAATGTCGAGGTAAATTTCAAAAAGATGAAGCAACTTTGTATGTAAAAATATATGAATTGACAGTAAAAGAAAACTCAGTGGAAAGGTCTAATAGTGCATAGGCATTTCTGAAGAAAGAACTTGTGAACTCTAAGATAAATCTAAAAATGTTGCCTAGAATGCTGCATAGAGAAACAAAGAGATGGAAAATATGAAGGAAAGATAAAAAAGACATGGAAGTGAAGTAAGGACACCACTAGAGGTAACTTTTAGGTAACTAATAAGACAAGAAAAGAAGTACATAAAGCTCTGGAGCCTCACACTTATGAATCGTGAGCTCGTAGCCATCTATGAAAATGGGAATCTAGGCACAGGAGGGCTCATGTGTATGTGGGATGTTTCTCGAATTGACAGTATGTAAGATCATAAAGCAAGTTTTAGTACATTGCAAATAATTGATAGACAGGTTTTCTGCTCATAATGCAATTAGAAATAAAAAGATAAAACAGCCTAACATAAATCTTGAAATTAGAGATCATGGGAAGGGATAATAAAAACCAAAAGGAGGTGCCATTTTATTCTTACCCACTGGGTAAAACTTCAGAGTATCGATGTGCAGTAGTTTCTTTCTGAGATGCTGCTCTTTGGGTCAGGTTGGCAGCATGAAACAGGCAGGGAGAGAACAAAAGTGGGTCTCGCAGTGACCACACTGTGCAGAGAATCACTGTGGTCATCTCACATTCTCAGGTGATCAGAAAGAATCAGTGCTCTTCCCCTCCCTTCCCCTTTTCTCTGATTGAATACAAACTTTCTTATCGTGCATATTTCAAATGGGTTTTTTAACCTGTGCTCTTATAGTTTATCAGAATTGTGTGGAAAGAAAGACAAAATATGACAAAGGTAATAGATCTCATATTGTTTATGGCTACATGTTTCTGTATGTTATGTGCTGAACATATACATATACACATACCTAAATAGGGAATGATCATTCATATGGTGAACAACTTTCAAAAAGTGATGTTGCTCTGTATTTGCAGGTCTCGAAATTGAGTTGGCTTGAGAGAAAAATGGCTGCTACTCTGTTTGGAAAAATACCATCCTCAACTGTAGAAGAAGCTTTGCAAAACTTCCTTAAGGTCTATTTTGCCTGTCAATTATTTGAATGCCAAACTGGCTACTTTCTGTACCAGTCCCTCCTACATTTGTTAATGAAATCTTTCTCCTCTCAAGAATAGACCTCTGAGCTGGTGTCACAGTTTGAATCCTATATTTGGCATGCTCTGTTTGTGGGCTCTTGTAATGTGCTTTAAATCCAAACTGCTTCGCAGTGCTTCTAGCTGCATCCTAGGTCCTGGGTGTGGCAGCCCTGACTACCAAATCCAAAAGCAGCTCTCCGGGTCTTCTGAGGATGTGCAAGAGCGTTCATGCCCAGATTATTAATTAAACTTTGGTCCAAGAACTCTTGGTTAGGCTAAGAGGGAGACAGTCTAATCTCAAGGACCTGAAAAATGCCAAAAGGAAGAGTTATTTTATAAGCTCCTTCTTAAGTTGTGGACAGTTCTCTGGAACATTCTTGGGGCATCAGACCAAGCCAGCATTCTTATTCCTGACTTAAAATGTATAATTGCTATGCTATAAAACTCTATCTAGTAATATGTGTGTGAACACATGTAACTATATATCCACCTCTATCATCAACTTCCTGTTGTGCCAGTTCCTTCACCTTTCCAGGGAACCAACTATAGAATCTTATAAGATATCCTGTAGACATATCAGGCCCTGAGTGGTTTTGTCCACCATATTGCAATTGCTGGTATTTTTTTGTTGTTTAGTATCAACTTTGTAGAACTGAGAGGGAATTGAGTGACTCTACAGCCTCAGAGGGCAGATAGGTTTCATCATACTTACATCTCTAAACCATAGCTAGTGGCTCCTGGAGTGCTGAGTGAAAAATTAAGTGCTGAGATCAAGCACAAAAGAGTTCAAGGATCCTTCTCCCTTTCTTATTTTTTTTTTTTAAGAATGATCCTTTATGTTTAAAAAAAAGGAAATCAAGATGGCAGGAACTTATTTTTTTTAGTGCCTCACACAAATCTAAGTAAGAATGAAGTCTGTGACTGCATCACCCCCATATTTTCACTCTTTTTCTATCACTAAGCAAGAATAGTTCCCTACTTTAAATGTTATTAGACTCTAGATTGTGGTATATTTGAGATAAATGATTTATAAAAGATGCTAAATTATAACAGAAATTAAGTATTTCTTCATAATATCAGTTATAATGAGGAAAGGGGTCAGATTTTCAGTACACTGCCCATACGTTCTTATGGTGCCAACATACCTGAAATTTTATAATATAAAATCAAGTATGATAAGAAGCAGAATAATGTGGAAATAGAGCGGAAACTCTGGAATTGGATTTTTCAGTTACATCCCAGTTCTTCCACTTACTGACTGATTAATATTGGACAGATTTCTTAAGGCCTCTTTCTCTCTCTCTCAATTTACCCAATAACATGGTTATTTAACCAATAACCGATTTAACCAATAACTCTGCCTCAGAGTGTTGCTGTGAAGATTGAATAAGTTAATACAAGTAAATCGCTTAGCTAGTGTCAGGTCCTAGCAAGTGCTCGATAAATCCCATAGAATGTTAGCTTCATTACAATGTAAACACCACAACAAACCATCTTGGGGGCCTCACCATTTAGTTTTGACTTAGATTCTGCCTGAAAATCCATTCCAGGGTGCTTGTCAAAAGAATAAGAAGCACCAAGATTGTTTTTCTCCCCATACTCCCTGCAAATTGAGAATAAAACTGGAATGGAGAAACGTCCACTTTTTAATTTTGGAAATTCCTGGGATGTTTCTGTCTTGTAAACCAAGCAATTTTTGGAAATATTTTACAGCATTCTTCTCTGGGGTTCTGCATCCCTCTGGGTGGGGCGCAGTGTCAGGTTTCGAGCAACCTTGCCTCCCGTTTGTAACTGCAGAAGCTCACTGTGAAGCACAGGCTGGCCTAGGCTCCAGGAAGAGCCCTCTGGTAGCAATGCCAGATACCTGAATGAATGCTTGCTTACCAGGCAGAGAAAAGGAACCGATACATTCAAAACTAGTAAATGAGGAGGGAAGTACCTTCATAGTGTTCTCTTATTAAAATCTGCAGGTCACTCTACTACTTCTTTCAAGGATTTTTCTTTTCCATAAAAGGACTTGCTATGATGGGCTTCAGGTGTATTCAGCAGAAGCGGAAAGTGTTGAAATAATAAGTCAAGTAGGAAATTAGTGGAAGATACTGGCCATGTGACACAGTCACGCTCCACTCCAGTTTGCTTTGTAGATTGTGAAATGCCCATGGCTTGTCCTGGGACATGTGTCACACCAGTTGGCTTTGTTCTTGAGTGGAAAAAAGAGAAAGGGTGGAGATGGCTATACAAAAGCATCCCGAAACTTAAAAGTATCTCAGTGCTTTGTCAACTTTATGATCATGAGAGTAATTTCATTTTACTGGATAAAGGCACAAGCTACATTTCTACCCAAAGTATACTTGAAATAAAGTAATTTAGATAGGATACGTCAAACCCAAATTCTTAGGCAGTTAGCTATTATTTGATTGGCCGAACAATACTACTGTTGTTTTAATACTGCCCTGTTGTTCTCTTTTCTCTTAAAATCAGGTTGAAGAACTAAGCCCTGGTTTTTCTAAGTCCAACTACATGTACTTAGCCAAGGTAATAAAAACCACTATTTTAAGATCACTTTGAGTCGATTGCATAAAAATGTGTCTGCCATTGTATTGATTCCTTTTTTTTGTCTAGTGTTATATCGATCTTGAACAGAAAGATGAGGCTCTGAAGTTCTGTAACTTGGCATTGCTGCTGCCATGTGTTACCAATGAGGTAAGTCCAGAGGGTGACAGTGGGAGCTCTTGCCTTATCAGTACTATTTCAGCGTCCAACACCACTGACTGACTGAGAGACACATGGGGTCTTCTTTTCTGAGCTAGCCCTGGGGTAACAAAAAACATGAATTAATTTTCCTAGTAAGTTCTTCCAGGTAATACATTAATTTCATAGATACCTTCATCTTATTTTCTTACGACCCTCAAAAAATATTGCTTTGAAAATTATGGTTCCCAGAAGGCAAAGAGTGGAGGATGAGAGAAGGGTAGAGGAGCATCTTCTGGATGTTGGCTGAGGGTTATTAGAAATGTGGTGGTGCTCATGGTGTAGCACGCGTACGTGAAGAGGTATGAAATCGTACTCTGAAAGTAATACAGTGTTGTAAATCAGTGTTACTTAATAAAAATAAATATTGTTGATTTCAAAATTGATCAGATACTATAATAAAATAAATAAATTAACATTTATGATTAAAACTGTTGAAGAACTTAGTGTTTTTAATCTAGCTAACAGTAACTTCCAGATCTTTGTTGTGCAGTTACCCCCATCTTTTTATTTTAAATTTCTTACATTCCTTAAATCCTATTTCATAAGTGCTCTGTAAATAATTGTTAAATGCATAGGAGTACCCTTCTGTCTGAATTTATTGCCACTCTTTCTAACTACCATCCATGTTTTAAAGAAATTAATCAGGAGAAAGACAGTATGATATCACTCCAAGAAATAAAGCAAATAAATAAATAAAATAAAAATAAAGTCCTAAAATATGACAATGAGGGCCCTCCCTGGTGGCTGCAGCCACTGCAGCATGCGATCCCCAGGGGAGAGAGGGGAGTGACCCACATGGCACAGCAGACTTCTCCAACCCACCGCTGCTCCCTTCAGCAGTGTATGTCAGTTGCTTTGCCTGTTCTGCTCCCCCAGAATCCTGTCACCCTCCATACCTCTAGCCTGTACCCCAGTTCTTGAATTTAAGTAAATAAATCTTAAAAACAATATGACAATGAAATCAGAGAGGAAGGGTTGAGGGGAAGAAAAAGTAGAAGGGATAAATGGAAGGCAGTTGGTGGTGGGTGTGCTTTAGTGTATATGTGTTAAGGTGTGAAACTACATTGCTGAAACTTAAGTAGCATTGTACGCTATTGTTACTTCAATTAAAAAATGAAAGTTTCCCATACATACCCCCAAAAAAGTACATTTGGAATCCTACAAAACATATTACATAATTTTTAATCTAAAATATAAACTCCCTGATAAAGTCAGCAGTGGAGTGTGGAGTTGTCTGGAGCCTCCTATCTCTTCAAATCCTGCTGCTAGGGATGGGATTGCCTCCGCACCATAGAGGTGAAGCAGAAAGCAGTGTTATCCTTAACAGCAGGGGAGATGTAGTCGGTCAGCTTACCTGGGGGCTCTCCTTCCTGTGACCCACTGTGTGAATTCCCCCTGTTTTCCCAGTTCCCAGAGATCTGAATCATGTCTGCTCCTTAGAAACCCCCAGTTACTTTTTAATGGTCTTTCAAAACATTCCCTCACTCAACAAAGGCCTGTCTCAAAGTACCTAGAGTACCAGGACGAATGTGAAGTTTTATTGTGTATTTTTTTTTATAGGATAAAGATATACAGATAATGGTGAAAAAAATGAGCACTTCCTTGAAGAGGTAAATAAAAGAACGTACTCTTCAACAAATCAGATGTGGTCTACTAAAGTTCAAATTAATCAAAATTGTGGGTTATTTTTAATTAGCTTTTTTTTGTTTTGATATAATGTAATATGCTCAGGTGTAAAGGTGATACCAGTCTCTGCATTCAGTAGTACTACAAAACTAATCATGTTACTTGGAGAATTCTATTTACTATAATGTCAGTACAAAATGATCTTTGCAAATGTATACTTTATATTTTTCCTATCAATAAATGGTAGTCTTTAGTATATTTCTTTAAATAAAATCTTTAAGTCAGTGCAATAAAATGAACTCTGATGAGTGTTTTATTACGCTTCAATGGGAATTTTACAAAACAAAATCATTTCATTAAAATTAATGAAGAATGAAAAAAATGGGCAAAGGGCATGAACTGGTTACTGGTAGAAGAGGAAAAATAAAAAAGGAGAAATCATCACAATTATTAGAATTATGAGTGAAATTACAATAACACGCTGTTTTACTTTCAAATTAGCAGGATTTTTTTTTTCTTTGAAGAAACATTCAGTGCTGGCAGTGGTGCTGTGAGGCGCCATTCTCAGACGCTGCTGGTGAGGGACGTTGTTTTGACACAAACATTCGGTAAAGTGTATTCAGAATACATAAAAAACATACTAATTCCTTCATCTGACAATTTCATCTCATGGAAATAACCCTAAAAGTAAAAAGTACAATTATTTATGCACAAATGTTTATAACAGCATTATTTGTTATGGACAAAACACTGTCCAACAATATGAAAGCATATTAAGTTAACCAAATTAGAATATAACCACATTGAATTATTTTGGTTTAATAATAATTACAGAAATGTTACAAGGAAATGCTTGGAGCATCTGAAGTGCAAGGATGAGACAAAATAGTAGATACATATGATCTCAACTATATGAAAATGTGCACAGAAATGAATCTATTAAAAATACTTTCAACTATTGTATTTTTATCTTGCATCTCCCAACTTATAATAATAAACTAAAAGGCATTTTAAAATTCAGCTTAGCTGGCAGTGACCTATAATGATTGCCCATTATTCTTTAATCAGCATCATCCTGGAAATAAGGTCAAAATTTGAATTTCTTGTCTCCTGCCCCAAATACATGGATATACAAGCACACATATGCATGTACACACGTAAAATTTCAGGCTCTCACCTAGTGATACTAATTAATCAAACTGAGGTACTCTCATCTTTTATAATCCCTGAATCAATCTACTGAATCAAACCCACTTTCTCTGACAAATACCTAACATTAAGATTACTGGTTAAAAGGGACAAATGTCTTGCAGTTCCCCTCATGGCTACACAGTGAACTTAAAGATCTCTCTGAACAGTTAAAAGAATGCACAAATGGAGACAGGTGATGCAAACTAGCAGCAAATGACCAAGAACCAACCACATTACAGGCTTTGCAGGAGCAGCTCATTCTAGCAGAAAGCAGTATGAAAACCTCCACTAGAAGTGAAGAGGAACATTGAGGAAGATCTTCTTGGATAATGGTGGTACTTGGGACTTATAATTGGGATGTGACATGAGATCTAACCATTTTTTTGTTTGTTTTAACAGAATATTTGGCCCCTGGGGTCAATATTTATGGTATTTCTCAGTTTTTAAGATTCTATAACTTGCTTATATATTTGAAACACCTCAGCAGCCTCCAGGCCAAGACCTGCTAACCTGCTAGTTGACCCGCTCAGCTTCCAGCTAAGTAGGTGCAGCATAGTGGTCAACAACCCTGGCCCCTAGGCAGAGCCAGTACCAGCAGGCGGTTCGAGCCCCTCATCCTCTAGCCGAGCCAGGATGGCCAGCTCTTCAAATTTGGCTGCCTCCAGCCTAGGTCTACACATTGCTTGTCAAACTCAGCAGCCTCCAGGCTAAGCTGTGGTCTGGACTGCTATTCAACTTTAGCAACCTTCTCCAGTACTTCTAGTCAGTATAGGCAGAGTATAAGTCAAGTCAGGTTCGGCCTGCAGGTCAGGTCAACCTTGGCACTCTGGCCAATGGTCAACCTAGGCTGGCCAATGGTCAACCTAGGCTGTTTGAAGTCTTGAATCCTGGTTCCTCCTGCTTTTTTACCTCTGCACCTCCAGCCTTAGGCTGGGGTGGTTTACTGTCCAATCTCCTGCCTCCAGGCACTGTTTGAGCCTGGTGGTCTAGTGACTTCAGCATCCTCCTCCAATGCCCAGAGTTGGGAAACTGGTCAATGTCAGCAGCCTATAGTCTGAATCTGGGATTGGCCTGCTTGTTTTACCTCATGAGGCTCAAGCTTTAGGTGGGGTCCCTTGCTGGTCAACCTCAATAGCCTGCAGGCTAAGTCTGGGTCTAATCTGCTATTCAACCTCATCACCCTCCAGCCTTAGGCTGGGCCTGGTTGCTGGTTGACCTCAGCAGCCTCCATGCTGAGCCCATGTCCAGCCTGCTGGCCGAACTTTCCAGTCTCCAGACTGAGCCCAGGGGCATCCAGCTTGTTGAACTTCTGGCCTTCAGTTTATGCCAAGGCTGTACAGCTGTTAAACTTTAGGAGCTTCTAGTTCAACTAACCTCTAGGACCTGCCTGCTGTTCCATTTTGTTTCCCTCCAGGCCAGACCAGGATCAGCTTGCTGTTCCACAATGGCAGCCTCCAGGCTGAGAATGGGCACAGTCTACTGAACCACCTCAACTTCCTGTCAAGGTGGTCTAGCTGGTTATGCTGACTGACCATAATATGTGCCTGCTGTTTTCAGCAGATACCCTGATACTAAGACTTTTGCATTGGTGAGTCAGGAGTTGTAGTCTGGTCTTAAAGTCCTTGACCCTTTTTTCTAGGTCTGCAACTCCCTTTTTTTCTATAACAACTTGAGAGAAGCTGGAGAGTAGGGTAGTAGGTTTGGGGAGATGGGGAGAGGGAGGTAGAGGTAAGACTGAATAGTAGAGATACTGAAGTTGAATTTACTCTAGCTTTCAGAGCAGTTATTTCATGTGAACCCAAGGTTTTCATCTACAAGACTTTATGAGATTTCTGTCCAACTCACCTCCCCCACCTGCCAACTCTCTACTCTTGTTGACAATGTAGAACAAACCACAGTTATCCAGGGAATTATCTCTATGGAATAAATCAGTATATTGTTTTGAGTTTTGCAGGTTTTAATGTTAAAGAACACATGTCTTGGTTGCATGAAAATTTGTAGAAAGCCAGATATCTCATAACATGAATTAATTAGTTAAGATGTTTATCCCTCCAGCTATCTTTTCCCTTTTTATAATTACAAAGAATACTGGTGTTGCCTTACTTTTCAGAATCAAATGCTCAGGAAGACTTCTGACAGGGACCCTGGGCGGAAGCCACCCACCCCCTGGTCTGTCCATATGGATGTTCACTCCAACCTCATCTTGGCTGAGCATCTTTCAGCCAAGATGTACTCATTAGGAGGAGTGATTTAGAGGGGCCAGTCTCAGGCTACGGAGCTACCTCCTGTGTCTTGTCCCCATCATATTGTGCCTGCCTAATGGGGAGTGGAGAGTTAAGGGAGCCCAACATAATGCTGCTTCACTAGAACTGTCCACATTCAGAAATACAGAAAATCAGATTTTTTTAGAGAAAAACTAAGGCCTCTAATGAATGAATCTTCTATTAGTTGACAACCTGTAGCCACAATGGTGGTCAGGCCTGAGCCAAGAACAATGTCATGAACCTACTTAGGTCAGTAAAGATAACCTATAGCTTAGCAGTTTACTAGATCATATTCCTCAGGGCCATGGTGTTGGGTTATTAATCAGCCATTTTAAGCTGTAACACAGAAGAAAACTATTCCAGGAAAGTCATTGATAACCCTGTAATTGCATCTTGACTGCCTTCTTGAGCCAGAAAATGAAGAAACCCTGCCCATGGTCCTCACAACCGAACATCCTTTTCTTTCCTCTAATCTTCTTCACTCACCACTTTCCTTAAAATACTAACTGCCATTCTCTCATGGTGGCCCCAGTTAACCAAGGACTTCCTCTGTGGGAACATCTTACAGTTCAAAGTCTGGCTTTCTGAGCACCAAGAATAAGACCCAGTTAGAGCAGTGATGTAATGATGACCTTAAAGCATTCAAGATCCTTATGTGTCTTCTGCATTTACAAAGTAAGATTAAATGATATGTAGTGCTAATGGCTTCATATAAGTACTTATATTATAACCTTCTAAACTCACTAGTCTGCAAACTTTTTGATTGCCTGCTTGAGTTAATACAAAATAACTGACATCCTCTAATAGATACATTTATTTTTATAAATTATGCATGTCAACCTTCTACTAACATGTTCATGATAAAGCATGCATTAAAAAAATATTTTAAGAGACACCATCACCTCTTTTCTTGAAGATAAAAGAATTTGTTAGCAAAGTAGAAATAAAAGGCTACTTTTTAAAAAATGATAAAAGATGCTTACCTGAATTCTCATACATATTAACAGCTTAACAGATTTATAAGGATTATCAGGGACAAGAAAAGGATAATACCGCTGCTATTAATATTGTTCTAAAAGTATTAGTTCTGATTAGAAAAGGCAAAATTATAGTGTAACATTTGAAAGTACAGTATAATAAATATAATTATTTATTATGGTAAGTAAACTTACAGGCATGAAAAGAGGAAAACTGCAAAAACTTTTCAACAGTGTAAGAATTTACTCAGGTAATGCAGTTAAAGATTATAGAAACCAATAGCTGTTACAGTACAAATAATATTCAATAAGAAGATGTCATAGAAGACAATATTCAGTTTACCAAAACCACGAAACAAAATCAAGTGTCCAGGAATAAGCTTAAGAAGTGTGTCTGAAAAGTAAGCAGAAATTTCCTTGGTTAATCTACACATTCAGTTTTAACTCCAACTCGAATACCAATAAGATTCTTCTTTTGTGTTGTAAGATTGAGATAGAAAAACAAACAGTAGTACCCAGGAGATTCTGAGAGGTTCTGAAAACCTTGAGTAATGAACTAATGAGAGCAGCCATACCCTCTAGACAGGAAATCAAAACGAAACACAACAGAACCACTATGAATATACAATAATTAATGAGTGACTTGACTCATCGATCTGTGAAACAGAATGGAAAGGTCCAAAATACAATCAAATACACACCCATATTAAATGATAAAAGTGGAGTGTAAAATGGATTATCCAGTAAATGAGCCCCTAGAAGAAAAGGAGGGTGGAAAATGCAGGATAGACT